CTGCCGACAAATGGCCCTCTGGAGATGGACATGGGCGGCATCCCAGACCTGTCCGGCCCTGTGGAACCACTCGTCGACAGCGGGCGCATCGCTCTGGCTGGGTGTCCAAGGGGCCAGGGCCGGCTGGTACCCCAGGACGCACTGGAAGGGAGTGAGCCCTGTGGAGGTGTGAACGAGGGATATTCTGCCCAGGGAAGAAACTTCACCCACTCACCCTTCCGGTCCTGACAGTGGCAACGACGAAACCTCCCCAGCTCCTGGTTCATGCGCTCCACCTGCCCATTCGACTGAGGCCTATACCCAGAAGTGAGGCTGGCCGTGGCCGCGATCTTCTCCAGGAAAGCCTTCCACACTCGGGAGGTGAATTGGGGGCCACGGTCTGAGACGATGTCCTCCGTAAGTCCATAATGCCGGAAGACCTGTTGGAACAGGACCTGGAGAGCAGAAGGAAGATCAGTTAGTGGCAAAAAACGTCATGATTTGGAGAACCGATCTACGACCACCATGACTGTGGTGAAGCCGTCAGAACGTGGAAGGTCGGTGACAAAGTCTATGGACAGGTGTGACCAAGGTCGCTGAGGCACTTGGAGAGGAACTAGTTTGCCTGCCGGGGCGTTCCGAGGTCTCTTTGTTTGGGCACACACGGAACAGGAGTTGACATAGCGGGAGACATCAGTGGTCCTCTGTAGCTCAGCTGGTAGAGCACGGCGCTTGTAACGCTAAGGTAGTGGGTTCGATCCCCGGGACCACCCATACACAAAAATGTATGCACGCATGACTGTAAGTCGCTTTGGATAAAAGTGTCTGCTAAATGGCATATTATATTATTATTATTATCAGAAGCCAAGGTGGGCCACCAGTATTTTTGGGCTAGAGAATGCAGGGTGCGCGTAATACCAGAATGCCCTGCCGTAAGGGTAGTGTGCGCCCAGATCAGCAAGTGGTCACGGGACTGGTGGGAACATACACAGCAGGTGCTGGGTCCTCCTGAGCCGCCAGGCGGATGTCTTCGTCCACATCCCAAACGACAGGTGCAACGATGAGAGACGAGGGCAGGATAGGACCCCCCAGATCCTTCCTTTCTCTGGTATGGTGCATCCTGGAGAGTGCGTCTGCCTTCACATGGGATCCTGGGCGGTAGGACAGAATGAATTGGATGCGAGTGAGAAATTAGGCCCACCTGGCTTGACGAGAGTTGATCCGTTTCATGTGCTCCAAATTCTGATAGTCAGTAATAATCCGGAATGGATGGACTCCACCCTCCAGCCAGTGTCTCCAATCCTCCAGAGCAAAGACCACCGCCAACAGCTCCCTGTCTCCAACTCCATAGTTCCTCTCTGTGGGGGTAAGCTTTTTAGAGAAAAAGGCACAGGGATAAATTTTCTCTGGCTTACCGTGCCGCTGGGAGAGGACCGCACCCACGCCCTCCTCCGATGCGTCCACCTCCAGGATGAAAGGACAAGAGGGATCATCTCTCCTTCAGCCTCTTGAAGGCAGCGTCAGCCTCAGGGCTCCAGGCCCGTTTCTGAGGCCCCCCCTTAAGGAGAGAGGTGAGCGGGGCGGCTATGGAGCTGAAGGACCTGATGAAACGCTGGTAGAAATTAGCGAAGCCCAGGAAGCTCTGTAGGCCCATGATGGTGGTGGGAACTGGCCATGACCTGACGGCGTCCGTCTTCACTCCTTCCATGAACACCCCCTGAGGACTGATCCGGTATCCCAGGAAGGAGATGGCCTGTTGGTGGAATTCGCATTTCTCCCCTTTCACCAACAGGCTGTGTTCCCGGAGGAGTAGGACAGCTCGGACGTCCCTGACGTGCTCCTCGAACGTAGCTGAGTAGATCAGAGTAGATCAGGATATCGTCGATGTACACCACCACCTGTCTACTCAGCATGTCCCGGAACACGTCATTGACGAAGGACTGGAACACAGAAGGTGCGTTGGCGAGGCCGTAGGGAATGACGCAGTATTCATAGTGGCCTGAGGTACTGCTGAATGCCATCTTCCACTCGTCCCCTTCCCGGATTCGAATCAGGTTGTAGGCACTCCTCAGGTCCAACTTGGTAAAGTACCGGGCCCCTCGTAGCTGCTCGATGGCCGACGGAACCAGAGGGAGGATGTACCGGTACTTGGTGGTGACTGCGTTCAGCCCCCTGTAGTCAATGCATGGTCTCAGTCCTCCATCTTTTTTGGCCACGAAAAAGAAGCTGGCGGAGGCAGGAGAGGTAGAGCATCTGATGATCCCCTGTTTCAGGGTCTCCACAACATACTTCTCCATGGCCTCAGTCTCCGTCATGGAAAGGGGGTAAATGCGACTCTTTGGGGGGTGTTGTCCCTCCAGCAGGTCAATGGCGTAGTCACAGGGCCTGTGAGGAGGGAGACACGTAGCCTTTAATGAAGAGAAGACATCGGAGAGATCTGCGTACTCACGTGTACGGATCAGGCACTATTACGTGCGTAATAGTGCCTGATCCAAGGGGTTTATTGTCCAGTGAGGTGACGTGTAGCGGAGATGGCAGTGGCACGGTGGGCAACCCCCATTCAGAGACCAGCTCCCTATATACAGTGGGGGAAAAAAGTATTTAGTCAGCCACCAATTGTGCAAGTTCTCCCACTTAAAAAGATGAGAGAGGCCTGTAATTTTCATCATAGGTACACGTCAACTATGACAGACAAATTGAGAAGAAAAAAATCCAGAAAATCACATTGTAGGATTTTTAATGAATTTATTTGTAAATTATGGTGGAAAATAAGTATTGGGTCACCTACAAACAAGCAAGATTTCTGGCTCTCACAGACCTGTAACTTCTTCTTTAAGAGGCTCCTCTGTCCTCCACTCGTTACCTGTATTAATGGCACCTGTTTGAACTTGTTATCAGTATAAAAGACACCTGTCCACAACCTCAAACAGTCACACTCCAAACTCCACTATGGCCAAGACCAAAGAGCTGTCAAAGGACACCAGAAACAAAATTGTAGACCTGCACCAGGCTGGGAAGACTGAATCTGCAATAGGTAAGCAGCTTGGTTTGAAGAAATCAACTGTGGGAGCAATTATTAGGAAATGGAAGACATACAAGACCACTGATAATCTCCCTCGATCTGGGGCTCCACGCAAGATCTCACCCCGTGGGGTCAAAATGATCACAAGAACGGTGAGCAAAAATCCCAGAACCACACAGGGGGACCTAGTGAATGACCTGCAGAGAGCTGGGACCAAAGTAACAAAGCCTACCATCAGTAACACACTACGCCACCAGGGACTCAAATCCTGCAGTGCCAGACGTGTCCCCCTGCTTAAGCCAGTACATGTCCAGGCCCGTCTGAAGTTTGCTAGAGTGCATTTGGATGATCCAGAAGAGGATTGGGAGAATGTCATATGGTCAGATGAAACCAAAATACAACTTTTTGGTAAAAACTCAACTCGTCGTGTTTGGAGGACAAAGAATGCTGAGTTGCATCCAAAGAACACCATACCTACTGTGAAGCATGGGGGTGGAAACATCATGCTTTGGGGCTGTTTTTCTGCAAAGGGACCAGGACGACTGATCCGTGTAAAGGAAAGAATGAATGGGGCCATGTATCGTGAGATTTTGAGTGAAAACCTCCTTCCATCAGCAAGGGCATTGAAGATTAAACGTGGCTGGGTCTTTCAGCATGACAATGATCCCAAACACACCGCCCGGGCAACGAAGGAGTGGCTTTGTAAGAAGCATTTCAAGGTCCTGGAGTGGCCTAGCCAGTCTCCAGATCTCAACCCCATAGAAAATCTTTGGAGGGAGTTGAAAGTCTGTGTTGCCCAGCGACAGCCCCAAAACATCACTGCTCTAGAGGAGATCTGCATGGAGGAATGGGCCAAAATACCAGCAACAGTGTGTGAAAACCTTGTGAAGACTTACAGAAAACGTTTGACCTGTGTCATTGCCAACAAAGGGTATATAGCAAAGTATTGAGAAACTTTTGTTATTGACCAAATACTTATTTTCCACCATAATTTGCAAATAAATTCATTAAAAATCCTACAATGTGATTTTCTGGATTTTTCTTTCTCATTTTGTCTGTCATAGTTGACGTGTACCTATGATGAAAATTACAGGCCTCTCTCATCTTTTTAAGTGGGAGAACTTGCACAATTGGTGGCTGACTAAATACTTTTTTCCCCCACTGTATAGACAGGTGTGTGACTTTCAAAATCATGTCCAATCAATTGAATTTAACACAGGTGGACTCCAATCAAGTTGTAGAAACATTTCAAGGATGATCAATGGGAAAAGGATGCACCTGAGCTCAATTTCAAGTCTCATCGCAAATGGTCTGAATACTTATGTAAATACGGTATTTCTGTTTAAAAAAATAAAATTAAAAATAATCATAATACAAAAAAAACTGTTTTATATTTTTTATTACTACGTCTGTCAATCTTATCGAAATGTATAATTTAAGTCACCTGTTAAAATAATAGTTCCTGTCTGGATATGAAAAATACGAAAATATACCATTTCAAAGATTTTACAGTTACAGTTCATATAAGGAAATCAGTAAATTGAAAGAAATTCATTAGGCCCTAATCTATGGATTTCACATGACTGGGCAGGGGTGCAGCCATGGGTGGGCCTGGGAGGGAATAGGTCCACCCACTTGGCAGCCAGGCCCACCCACTGGAGAGCCAGGCCCAGCCAATCAGAATGAGTTTTTCCCACAATAGTGTTTTATTACAGAAATAAATGCCACATTTTAGAGTGGCCTTTTGTCCCCAGCACAAGGGGCACCTGTGTAATGATCATGCTGTTTAATCAGCTTCTTGATATGCCATCACTGTCAGGGGAATGGATTATCTTAGCGAAGGAGAAATGCTCACTAACAGTGAGCACAACATTTGAGAGAAATAAGCTTTTTGTGCATATGGAACATTTGGATTTTTTTTATTTCAGCTCATGAAACACTTTACATGTTTCGTTTATATTTTTGTTCAGTATAATAATATCCATATGAGGAGGATTCAATGTTAGAAAATGAACCTCTGTCTTTGTGTGTCCGTTCTAGGCCAGAGAAGCTGGAGCTGGGTTTGGTGATGAGTATGGACCAGGTAACTCAGATGATCCCCTCAGCTCTGTTCTCCTCGAACCTGTATGCAGACAGCCACCAAGGTACACATTACAAGTGTGATCATTACACTACTGCTCGAGATCAAAAATATACACAGTACTGTATGCTCAGCGAAAAGTAAAAGACTGCGCAGTCACACTGCGATCTATGCTCCTATGTTGTACGACATACAGTGAGGGGAAAAAACGTATTTGATCCCCTGCTGATTTTGTACGTTTGCCCACTGACAAAGAAATGATCAGTCTATAATTTTAATGGTAGGTTTATTTGAACAGTGATAGTCAGAATAACAACAAAAAAATCCAGAAAAATGCATGTCAGAAATGTTATAAATTGATTTGCATTTTAATGAGGGAAGTAAGTATTTGACCCCCTCTCAATCAGAAAGATTTCTGGCTCCCAGGTGTCTTTTATACAGGTAACAAGCTGAGATTAGGAGCACACTCTTAAAGGGAGTGCTCCTAATCTCATCTTGTTACCTGTATAAAAGACACCTGTCCACAGAAGCAATCAATCAATCAGATTCCAAACTCTCCACCATGGCCAAGACCAAAGAGCTCTCCAAGGATGTCAGGGACAAGATTGTAGACCTACACAAGGCTGGAATGGGCTACAAGACCATCGCCAAGCAGCTTGGTGAGAAGGTGACAACAGTTGGTGCGATTATTCGCAAATGGAAGAAACACAAAATAACTGTCAATCTCCCTCGGCCTGGGGCTCCATGCAAGATCTCACCATCCCCACCGTCAAACATGGATGGAGGTGGAAACATTATGCTTTGGGGGTGTTTTTCTGCTAAGAGGACAGGACAACTTCACCGCATCAAAGGGACGATGGACGGGGCCATGTACCGTCAAATCTTGGGTGAGAACCTCCTTCCCTCAGCCAGGGCATTGAAAATGGGTCGTGGATGGGTATTCCAGCATGACAATGACCCAAAACACACGCCCAAGGCAACAAAGGAGTGGCTCAAGAAGAAGCACATTAAGGTCCTGGAGTGGCCTAGCCAGTCTCCAGACCTTAATCCCATAAAAACATCTGTGGAGGGAGCTGAAGGTTCGAGTTGCCAAACATCAGGCTCGAAACCTTAATGACTTGGAGAAGATCTGCAAAGAGGAGTGGGACAAAATCCCTCGTGAGATGTGTGCAAACCTGGTGGCCAACTACAAGAAACGTCTGACCTCTGTGATTGCCAACAAGGGTTTTGCCACCAAGTACTAAGTCATGTTTTGCAGAGGGGTCAAATACTTATTTCCCTCATTAAAATGCAAATCAATTGATAACATTTTTGACATGCGTTTTTCTGGATTTTTTTGTTGTTATTCTGTCTCACTGTTCAAATAAACCTACCATTAAAATGATAGACTGATCATTTCTTTGTCAGTGAGCAAACGTACAAAATCAGCAGGGGATCAAATACTTTTTTTCCCTCACTGTAGGTACCTGTTGTCATTCTCAGTTGCTGACTACACTGGCCATGTGTGCACATGTTGATTTTTGTCTATCTCCACCAGACGCGATCATGACACGCATGTTAAAATATCAAAATAAATTATGTTAATTTCTGGGCAGGTCGAAACACACATGAAACATTCATGGACATTTAGCTAGCTAGCTGTTGCTAGCTAGTTTGCCCTGGGAGATTAACATTGGGTTGTTATTTTACCTGACATGCAAATGGTCCTCTTTTTAGCTGGTTCTTTGTGGAATTTTGACCCGGAGTCATACAAACTCGTGTTTCTCTACTCCAACAATTAATCCAATTAAATTTCATGTGTCTATACTCAGCTGTTCCTGCCATTTTCTTCAATTTGAAGAAGACTCACTGATACTCACAGGGCTTCTAACATCTCTTCTGTAATTACATTTACATTTTACATTTTAGTCATTTAGCAGACGCTCTTATCCTGAGCGACTTACAGTTAGTGAATACATATTTTTTTTATACTGGCCCCCCCGTGGGAAACGAACCCACAACCCTGGCGTTGCAAACGCCATGCTCTATCAACTGAGCTACATCCCTGCCGGCCATTCCCTCCCCTACCTTGGACGACGCTGGGCCAATTGTGCGCCGCCCATGAGTCTCCCGGTCGCGGCCGGCGGCGACAGAGCCTGGATACGAACCAGGATCTCTAGTGGCACAGTTAGCACTGCGATGCAGTGCCTCAGACCACTGCGCCACTCAGGAGTACGTAATGTGTGTGGGTGTGTGTTTGTATTGTAGTGTTGAAGAGTGGGACACACTGCAGCCTGCTGGAGGTGGTGGATAAGAGCAAGTCGGGAGACAGTCTGGCAGCACTGCTTCAAGGCCTGGAGACACAGAGACTGGTAGGTCCAGGTCCAGCACATCTTAATTAGACCAACACTCCTCCTACTGGGAATGCAGGCTTTTGCTCCAGCCCTGCTCTAACACCTCTTCTATGTACAGGTTCTTGTCCACATGTTGGCTGACAAAGGGTTCCTGTTCCTCCTCTCTTCAGTTCAGATGGCCACTCCAACTGGTAAGTCAAATCATAGTGTATAATGTGGTGACACTTTACATGAAGTTGTTCTATGCCTGTGTTACGAACCCCGTGGCTCTAAACGTCTAGGGTGGATGGACATGAGACCCGTAACATAAAATATGCAAATTAGGAGTGTGGCATGGAGCAGTGAGAACAAATGTGACACAACAACCATGAACTACCGTCAAACACAAATGGTTTATTTCAGAACACACGGTAAGGGTTTGGGAAAAAGGGCTGAGCAGGACCCAAGAAATGAAACAATAGTGTAAAACCCCCTAACCTGATCTAGCCTGCCTGAAGAACCGCTAGGCTACTGCTAGTCATACAAAAGTACAGTGGGTGGTCCGCTCAGGTCTAACTAGTGTTTTTAGACAGATTTCTTCCTACGGGTAATGTACGCCCAAGGGCAACTAGCTTAAACTCCCCTTTTCCCAGAAACACACAAAGCTACCAAACAGGGTATTCAGCAATTAAGTAGTACACAATACACAGGACACCACAGTATCCGCACTCACATAACAAAACAGTAGTCTAACAGAATTTACCAATCATAATAAACAGCAACTTAGTGAGTAACCAAAAACAGGACACCACCGTGTCCATACTCACAAACGGAAATATTCTCTCTCTCTCTCAACAAACACAAGACTGGTTTTTATACAATGGGCTGTGTGATTGAACAAACGAGTAACAGGTGGTGCAATGCACAGGAATGTTCACTGATTGGTCCAATCAGCAGACACCTCAACGACCACCAATCAGGAACATACAGGACACCTGTGATTAGGGCAGAAGGAGAGAAACACACAAAAACACAGGATACCTGTATCCGTAACAGCCTGTGTAGTAACTGTAATAAGATAGTGTTAACGTGTTACATAGTCATTCACTAATTATTTACTAACCTTTTTTTTAATTATTTTTTTTTAGAAAGAAGAGATGGGTTGAAAAAGTGCCTTAAAGCACTATTCGTTTTTCAAGAGTCCAGGGATGTGGCAAAATACAGTACAAGGTGTCCAGCTACTCAGGAGCCTTTGCAGACGTCCTCCCGTGACCCCGCCATGCCCCAGCTGAACAGCTTTGTCCCGGCCCTGCATCACGCCCTGGTCAAGGTGCGCTGCAACCCGCCCGCTGACCTCTCGGCCGGGGTCGAGCGCCAGGCCAGGGACTACCTCAGTGGACTCCACAATGGAAAGGTATAAATGTGTGATTGTATGTGTTTTGACTAGTCAAACTTTTCACTAGATTTTGACTAGCCATATGTGTATGTTATTGATGTTTTGTGATGTGTTGTATGTTATGTGGTGTTTTACTGTGTACCTTTTTGTGTGACATGTAGCTTTTTTACTGTGTACCTTTTTGTGTGACATGTAGCTTACTTCCATGCAAGAATACAGTAAAGTACTGTATCATCTCCTCTCTAGCTCCGCCACATCCCCATGACTGAATACGACGCCAAGCTGGATGACCGGGGGAAGCTGTTCCCAGCTCCCAAACACCACAAACTCAACATGGAGGGCTACCTGCGCTCCTACGTCTACAACCCCAACCTCTACACCATGCCTGTGGTCCGAGCCAAGGAGATGGTAGAGAGTTACTGCACTGTGCCTGATGACAACAGCCCTGTAATGGACTGGGAGGGTAGTGGAGCCAGCGGTGACAAGCCAGTGGTAGGGTCGGAGGTAAAGACTTACGGTGCCACTGCTGCCCAGCCCCCGGTGGTCCAGGTCAACCACTCTCCCTGTCAATCTCCCACTGTCGCCAACCCTCAGAAGGTGAAGGAGCTGATTAACCTGATACTGTGTCGGAGGAACGCAGAGGGGGACGTCCAGAAGAAGGGATTGGCGCAGGGAGGACGAAAGCAGGGGGCAGGAGGGTTGGACCCCCGAGGACTGAAGAGGAAGCTGGAAAGGGAGACTGCAGAGAGGACTCTGAACTACCTGAAGAAGGCCTCACACGAGAGGGGCGGAAGGGACAGCAGAACAGGTATGGAAGGCCTTGCTGAGGGTTGGGGCATAATTTTGGCCTTAGGTATAAGTAGTGGAAACGAGTTTAAATGAACTTGAAATCCAGTCTTTCAGATGTTAAATCCAGTTCCTCAGATGTGTTTCATGGATAATTTGCTGGCTCACCTAGCAAAAGAGATCCACAAAGTGTTTGGAAATGAATGCAGTAAATGTATTTTTATCTCTCTTTTCTTTTCTCTCTTCCTCCCAGCAGCAGCTGCTGAAGAGGGCCAGAGCCCTTCTTGTCTGTCCTCTGTGATGCTGCCGAGTGTTGGTCTGAGAGACGTGGACCTGAGGAGAGACCGCTCGGAGGCTGCTGTCAAGTTATTAAATATGTTAACCAGCCTGAGTAACACAGCAAAACAAGGGAGCTCTGAGGGGAGAGGAGGAGGGTCAAGAGAGGGGACGGAGCAGACTAAAGTTCTGCTGTTTGATAGGATGATCAAGCTGGGCCTGCCACCCAATCAGGACATTGACCTGAGGAAACGACCTTGTAGGGGCCTGCAGGACAAGGCTGACTACTTGGAGGTAATAAGTCGATACCTTTGTTTCCTAAACATTTCCTCTGCTCAAGCCATTCCACTTAATTGATCTATTCTAGAACCAGTTCAATGACTGTGAAAGTGTGAGTGCAATATGTGTACATAACTTCGTATTGTCCTGTCTCTCTCTCTCTCTGTGTGCGTGTGTGTGTGAGAGAGCAGACAGCAGGCAGCATGAGCAGTCTGGAGGGCTTCAGCCCCAGTTCCAATGGTGAAACGCCCAGAAGATCACAGTCCCAATATCAGGGGGAAGAACAGATACCATGGGTCCTCATCCCCATCACAGGTATGGACCATCACTGCACATACAGTATAACTCGGGCCGGGCAAGAGTTTTTCCCGGTCAAGGCACGTATCACGTAGTTAAAGCAATATGTCCCAATGGTATATCCCCACAGGTATGGACTATCACATAACACATAGGCTGCAGTTTGACCCCTTTCCCAGTAGTGTGCACTAGTTCAGTGAAATATTTTGAAATAAATATATATGCATATATATTTACATTTCTGTGAGAAAATCTGGCTGATATGTGAAACTATTATGATATTTACTAATACCCTTTACTCCTGTGCAGGGCTGAAGTCAAAGAAGTACTGCCAGAGAGAGGAGAACATCCCTCAGGACCCACGCTTGGTTCCCCAGATCCCCATGGCAAACAGCAGCCACCCCCCCTGTGTCCCGGAACGACGGGAAAGAAGCATCAACCCTTTGTTAGAGGAGCTCCCACAGCATAGCTTCAGTCCTCCCCTAGAGGAGTCAGAAGAGCACAGCCCCTACCCAAGCCCCTGCTCTAGCCCCGGTCCCATGGAGGATGATGCGCAATTAGCTGAAAACCCCTGTGACCCCACAGAAATATGCGACAACCATAAGACGAGCACAGACAAGAAGACGAGCACAAACCAGAGCTTCCTTCAAATCCCTGTTGCTCCAGAGAGCGCCAGGCTACTAGAGAAGTGCCGCAGCCCCTTACCTGAGTCAAAGCCAGCTGGAGAACCAACCCCTACTATCCTTAGCCCTGTGGAGGCTGGGCAGGAACAGGCTGAAGGCAGCACAGGAAACGTTATATCTGGCGTGGTTGCTGAAGATCCAAGCACAATAGATGTTGGACTAGAGGAGGAGGGGGAGGAAGGAGAAGTAGAGGAGGAAGCAAAAGAGCTGGAGGAGATGGACGATGTGATTGAAGTGGTAGATGAGGAGGAGGAAACGGAAGATGAGGTGGAGGAAGAGAAGGTGGAGAAGGAGACCATTATAAAGCAGACAGAAGAGGTGTCACCACCCTCTCCTGACCTCAGTTCTCCTGAGCAGACTCCTGTCCAAAATCCTCCTCCCGTCCAGAGGCCCGTGCTGAGCAGAGTGGACTGTGTCCTGGACCAGCAGTTCAGCGACTTCTCTACAGAGATGCAGATCCTCCTGCTCAGAGAGAGTGTCCACTACAGCTCCCTCCTGATCCCGAGCCAGAGTCTTCCAGGCCAGTCCCCCATCCTGCCCTTCTCTGAGTACGTCTCCTTCTACAACTCGTCCCCTCCTATGCAGGCCTACGTCAGCTCCCTGAGAGACCGCATGGGCACCGTCATAGACACACAGGAGCAATGGATTCCTAGCATGGTGGCCACTGACCCTCCCCTGGTCTTATCTAACAATAACCACCACCATGCTAACCACGTTCATATAACTACATACCAACGGGAACCCTTCTTCTCGTGGCCCTGTTTCTCACTCTGTCCCAAGCCCTCACCCTCCTTCCTTCCCTGTCTGCCCCTGGTCCTGCTAGTTTAAACTCTTACAGTTCTCTACCTGTGTCTCATTCGGTCCGCAACCGCCACTCTCTTGCCCCTCCTTCTGGCCCTGGCCTTAACTTTGCTAGTTCAAACACTTACAGCTCTTTAGCAGTTTATCAGTTTCCCTCAGCTGTGTCTCAGTTTAATAGTAATAATAAGAATAATGTTACCACTCCCCTCTACAACAACCCACCCCAGACAGGGCTACCTATATCTCAGCTGAGCTCCAGTCTAGCGCCCCTCCACATCCAACCACTGGCACTGGACAACTAGTGGACAACAACAACAACAACACAAACAACAACACAGAACCCTGACTCAGACTGTCGAGAGCAACTGGGAACATGTAAGCCAAGTCCTATGTCAAAAGCAAATAAGTGGACAACCACAACCAAGAACACTGACTTAGATGCTCGAGGGCTACAAAGTTCAAGCCACAAATGAGTGCAATGTTTCAATCAAAAGACGATGTCATAATTGTTGATCCTCCGGTTTCAGCAGCCACCATGGAGGCTCCACCTCCTCTCACTCAGATGATTGGGGTGGGAGGGCCTGTCCCAGGCTCAGGGCCAGCTCCGCCTGCAGTCATCAGTAGGCTGATCAGCCCGCTGAAGCCTGAGCTGTTCAGTAACGTTGTGGAGATTATAAAAGATGTCCAGAAGAACTCAATTCTACATTCTACAACTCAATTCTACATCCACACCCAGGAGGGGGAAAGGGAGGTCTCCCACCATATCAAGGTACTAAACATTTGGGGTTATTGTAAAGCACTTTATGACAACTACTAATGTAAAAAGGGCTTTATAACTACATTTGAGTAATTGAATGGGGTGCACATATGCAGTCACACACACCAACCTCTCTCTTTTCATTGCATGTTTATGGGCAGTGTCACTGTATGAAACAGACCTTGTTTCTCTCATTGTGCTACCAGGAGTACCTCCAGAGGTTGGGGAACATAGAACACAGTCCTGAGAGGTTCTTGGAAAGAGAGAACCGGATGGAAAAACGAATGGTTCTCATGCAGATCATGGAAATCGCAGCTCACGTTCATAAGGTACACGACAACAATATTAGTCATTCCACAAAATGAGTCCCTTTTGTGTCCCTTTGATATTTTAAGTAGAAATTGTGCACCAATATTGGATTTTAAAAGCCTGTTACATTATAAGAAGTGCCCTTAATTCAATACATCTGATTTTTAATATGAATAAAGACTTAGTAAAGTGCGAAAATTCAGCATTTTGACATGGCCCTCTTCTGAGAAGTCACTCTGTGACTTCTCAGAAGATTTTAAAGTACCACAACAGTGAAAATCTATTTTTTTTTTCAGCTGAAAGACGACGTCCAGAGGGTACCCACGATGTTGGACAATGATTGAAGTCAATAATGAGATGATGTGCAAATACTTTTCAGACAACGTTTCTTTTCTGGGCTGGGTTTTATTTGAATGTTGCTATCCACCAGCATGGCATTATTTATTAATCAGAAACACCTGCAAATGTTCTTCCTCTTTACGAGTCGTGACTGAGGTGAGCCAAACAGACTTTGGACATCCACTTTGGGTGCCTGAGCCATGGAGCAAATTTTAAAATAGGGGGTACAAACGTATGTTTTTGCACCTACACATTTTTACCAGATAATTATCATAATCCACTGAATAATTTGTTAATTGTCTTTAATTTATTTTTTGGACCAGTTTTTTATTTGCTTTGTCATTTTTTGGGTTGGGGGAGTTACAGGTACAATATTCATGTCGCTTTACACAGTTTATACCACATGTACCCGTAGGTTGCCACAATTATTTTTTATTTTAGACATACAGAGAAATGTTCATATTGATCACACAGGATTTTGTAATAATAAAATTGGTATGTAAAGAAAAGAGAAACAAAGAGAGGTGGGCCTACACCCCCAACTCCCCACAACCCGGAAACCATGAATTCCACCCCTTCCCACCCCACATAGCAACACATGTATTCCACCCCTCCCGTCGACCAGAGAAAACCCTCCCCATACCATCCCTTCTCTGTGGGCCTGAAAGCAAAGAAATTAAAACGAAAATGAAAATAGGTATATATATATTAGCTCTGACCCCATTTAGTCGACTGGTTGATTGTTTGGTCAATAGGCTGTTGGTCAACTGAGATTTTCTATGTACAGTACCAGTCAAAAGTTTGGACACACCTACTCATTCAATGGGTTTTCTTTATTTTTACGATTTTCTACAATGTAGAATAATAGTGAAGACATCAAAACTATGAAATAACACATATGGAATCATGTAGTAACCAAAAAAGTGTTAAACAAATCAAAATATATTTTATATTTGAGATTCTTCAAATAGCAACCCTTTGCCTTGATGACAGCTTTGCACACTCTTGGCATTCTCTCAACCAGCTTCATGAGATAGTCACCTGGAATGCATTTCAATTAACAGGTGTGCCTTCTTAAAAGTCAATTTGTGGAATTTATTTCTGTCTTAATGCGTTTGAGCCAATCAGTTGTGTTGTGACAAGGTATACAGAAGATAGCCCTACTTGGTAAAAGACCAAGTCCATATTATGGCAATGTAGAAAATAGTCAAAATAAAGAAAAACCCTTGAATGAGTAGGTGTGTCCAAACTTTTTACTGGCGCTCCAGGCCAGGTGGTTATACAGCACCCAAGAAAAGAGGAGACCTAAAGGAAGGAGGTCCCCCTAGGTTGGTAAAGCCAAGGAGTTGGGGCGCTCAGAAAACATTCAGGGAGCAGATGGACGATCGGAGAAGGGCTATCCGAGGCAGAAGTGTCAGGGTGACAGTATGAGTCAAACAGACATAGTGGTTCCTCTCCCTCACTCGTTGGTGTTGAGTTCAGCCTGTCCATTTGGTGATGGAAAATCACTGCTTAAACATATTGGAAATGGACAGTGTCCATTGATTTTAATCAATAAGATGGCTGACTTGCTGTCCAATTGCAATATGTTACAATGGCATTTGCCATATGATATATTACAAGTTCATACTTCCCATTTAGGATATGAAGGGGACCATGTACTCTTCATACTGATATCTGTAGAGCTACCGGTGACCCTGAACACGTGGCAAAAGGAACTTTGCAAATTGCATGCACAGAAGCAGAGTTAGAGCGTAATCTGTAATCCAATGATATCCTAAGGGAACAACTCGGATGGGTCAAACTGAATGAACCGCTGCACGCAGCTAGAATAACTCTGTGGCTTGTCCACCCCAACCTCCCCACGATGACCCAGTCGAAAACAGCGTGTCTCTGTGTGACCTAGAGGCCGCAATATGTCAAAGTCATGTTGAAATCACTACTAGTTAGGCTTCATTCCGGGCCTACTTATTTGCACAGTCGCTGCGGTCAGACCGAGCGAGCTACGTTCAAGTGGGGAACCTCGTTGAACTCGGAACGGCCTAGAGACGATAGTGGTTCCTCTCCCTTGCTCGTTGGTGTTGATTTCAGCCTGTCCATTTGGTGATGGTAAATCCCTGTTTAAACATATTGGAAATGGACAGTGTCCATTTGGCATATGATATATTGCCAGTGTCAATATGACATTCTACTGTAGAAATACAATTCATATGTGCTGTCCTTTGACTGTTTATTATGATTGTAAGTAATGAGATGGCTGACTTGATTGCTGTCCAATTGCAATATGTTACAATGGCATTTGCCATATGATATCTTGCAAATGTATACTTCCCGTTTAGGATATGAAGGGGACCATGTACTCTATTCATATTTATATCTGTAGAGAACCAGTGACCCTGACCACGTGGCAAAAGAAACTTTGCAAATTGCATGTACAGAAGCAGAGTTAGAGCATAACCTGTAATCCAATGTTATCCTAAGGGAACAACTTGGATGGGTCAAACTACATGAACCTCGTTGAACTCGGTATGGCCTAGAGACTATAGTGATGCCGTTTGTTTGCCGTTCAGTGATGATTTTAGCCTATCCATTTGGTGATGGTAACTCCCTGTTTAAACATATTGGTAATGGATGCTGTCCATTATCAATATAACATATGGACAATGCCAATATATTATGCTGCAATTGGACAGTCAGCCATCAAGTCAGCCATCAGTCAATAAGATATCATACTGACACCAAACTGATACATACTGACACCAAACTCACTTTGCCCAACTCGTTTAGAAGCCAACTATCACACATGTCAGAGCCAGCCCTAAATTCATAGCGCCTTCTGTTAAAACCATAATAACCTTAAAACACGTAGTTACATTCGAGCTGCGGGTCCAGTTCTGACATTATGTGTAGGCCTAGCTGACGTGAACCCGAATCCCGAGTTTCGGCTCGATAGGTCATTCGGAGCCTGTGCAGCGACCTTCATTAGTTCTGAAAATTTACTTTTTTCGGGGGTTGCTACGGGGTCCCTGAGTGAGCTATCGGCCAGAAACTTGTAGGGTACGTTTCTATGGGCCGAGGCGGTTTCAATGCACCTAGTCTTGTGATTCTAGGACTTTTCTAAATGTCGTCATTTTCGTGATGTTAAAAATTAATTGAATATATTGCAAATGGACAAAGCTGTTTCTCGGCCGGAGAACCTCCTAGAGCCACATAACTTACTGTACAGTACCAACTTAAGCTATAGAACAGGTTTATTATGTTTCAGAGCTCTAGGTCTGACGGTTCTTTGATGGTTCGAACGCCGGTATCTATTGCATGCTCCTTGCGTCTGTAAGCCACACACTGTGTCACTCCATCTTGGCTGTGTGTGTGAGTTTTTCTCTGAGGTCTGATGGGCAGTGTGAGCACTTGTCAGGCTAGAGCTTGTCTCTATGGGTGCCGTCTCTGTGTCCTGGGCTTATGGGGTGGTTCTGTGGGTCTCAAAAGAATAGTTAAAGTACACAGGGCTGTGTGAGTCTGTCCAATTGCAATATGAAATATTGGCACTGGCAATATACAGTGGGGAAAAAAAGTATTTAGTCAGCCACCAATTGTGCAAGTTCTCCCACTTAAAAAGATGAGA